AATGTATGTTAATTATGAAAGGTGAAGTCCTTATTAATACTTCGGGTCTATTATGAAAGGTAAAATCCTTACTAATAGTGTATGTTAATTATGAAAGGTGAAGATTATTATTAATACTTCGGGTCTATTATGAAAGGTAAAATCCTTACTAATAATGTATGTTAATTATGAAAGGTGAAGATTATTATTAATACTTCGGGACTATTATGAAAGGTAAAATCCTTACTAATAATGTATGTTAATTATGAAAGGTGAAGATTATTATTAATACTTCGGGTCTATTATGAAAGGTAAAATCCTTACTAATAGTGTATGTTAATTATGAAAGGTAAAGTCCTTATTAATACTTCGGGTCTATTATGAAAGGTAAAATCCTTACTAATAGTGTATGTTAATTATGAAAGGGTGAAGTCCTTATTAATACTTCATGACCATTATGAAAGGTAAAATCCTTACTAATAATGTATGTTAATTATGAAAGGTGAAGTCCTTATTAATACTTCATGTCTATTATGAAAGGTAAAATCCTTACTAATAGTGTATGTTAATTATGAAAGGTGAAGTCCTTATTAATACTTCATGTCCATTATGAAAGGTAAAAGTGTATGTTAATTATGAAAGGTGAAGTCCTTATTAATACTTCATGTCTATTATGAAAGGTAAAATCCTTACTAATAGTGTATGTTAATTATGAAAGGTGAAGATTATTATTAATACTTCGCGTCTATTATGAAAGGTAAAATCCTTACTAATAATGTATGTTAATTATGAAAGGTGAAGTCCTTATTAATACTTCGGGTCTATTATGAAAGGTAAAATCCTTACTAATAGTGTATGTTAATTATGAAAGGTGAAGTCCTTATTAATACTTAATTATGAAAGGTGCGGGAAGTCCTTATTTATGAAAGGTGAAGTCCTTATTAATACTGCATGTGGCTGAATTATGAAATGAAAAAAGAAGTCCTTATTAATACTTCATGTCTATTATGTGAAAGGTAAGTCCTGAATACTTCATGTCCATTATGATATGGTCCTTTTTTAATACTTCATGTCCATTATGATAAGTTCATTCAGCAATATCATGAAGTCCTTATTAATACTTCAAGTCTTCATATTATGAAAGGTAAAATCCTCACTAATAGTGTATGTTAATTATGAAAGGTGAAGTCCTTATTAATACTTCAGGTCTATTATGAAAGGTAAAATCCTTACTAATAGTGTATGTTAATTATGAAAGGTGAAGTCCTTATTAATACTTCGGGTCTATTATGGAAGGTAAAGTCCTTATTAATACTTCGGGTCTATTATGAAAGGTAAAATCCTCACTAATAGTGTATGTTAATTATGAAAGGTGAAGTCCTTATTAATACTGCAAGTTCATTATGAAGAATGAAGTCCTCATTAATAATTCATGTTAATTATGAAAAGTTAAATTCTTATTTACACTTCATGTCAAGCATGAATGGTGAAATCCTTATTAATGCTTCATGTTTATTATGAAAGTTGAAGTTCTTATTAATACTTCATGTGAATCATGTCAATCATGAAAGGTGAAATCTTTACTAATACTGCTTGTTATTTCTGAAAGATGCCATCCTTTATTTCCTACTGCATGACATTATGACACTTGAAGCTGTTAGCAATACAGATGATAATTTTATCACATCGATCGAGAAATAAAAAAAACACACAAAAAATAGAACTACAAATATATTCCCCAGCCAAGAAATTGCCTGCTATTTCAGAACAATTCAGAACATTCCACAACAAAATGAGCCATTGTCTACAAAGTCATTCCTTCGTTCCTGATCGAGCATCTCATTCTATATAAGTTTCCACATACTGCTTCCCCTACAACTAACACAGACAAATATGTATATTGTTTTAACTTGTTACATAGGCCCAATAATTAACTGTTTACAACCACAGCAGACAATAGCTGATGCCAAGGATTGCCCTCCAGAGACCCCACAAACAGCCAAAATTGACAATGTCACTCTCCATGCTTGTGCCGCAAACAAGCACGTTTATTTTTCGCATTCAAATTCTTTACTCTGTCAAGGGCACGACACAAGTGTAGCCATCATTGAGGGCCAAGACAGTCAAATACTTGTGATTGTCAGCTCTCAATGGGGGAAATTCCGGGCAGGATTGAGACGGAGTGAGATTGAGTATGTGGTCACCGGGTGTGGAGAATGGTGATTTTGATTTCACCTACACCGTAGATCTTCGGAAGATATCTTTGTGGGCCGGACTATTATTAGCTTTTCAAGAAAGGGTTGGGAAATTGGTCCAAATTTCAAGTTTGATCATTGGGTCACGGAAGCAATCAATAATAATTAATTAAAATAGGAAACGTATTCCATTCCAGTATCTATTGTTAGCATATTTCCTGTAAATAACATCAAAAACTGTACATTTATAAAACAATAATTTCCAACAATTTGCAACACAAAAACATCTGACAAGAAACATTACAACTACAGTAACCTTGAAACCTGTTGTTAGATATTTGTGTTTTCATGCACCTCAATTCAACTGTGTTGACCTCATTAACTAATCTGAATAAAATTAATAATAAATTAATCCATCACATTTCACGATAATTTCCTCGGCTTTAAACTGAAGCCAATCAGATGTGATGAAAATGATTGACTGGACCAACACTGCTGACAGTGTTCACATATACCATATTTGCCACAATATGTTCTTGGGTGCTTAGAAAATTACCAATTGGGGTATTCATAAAAACAATACACAAACATTTGCATTTGTTCTGACAGTTCGAGTAGTAGGAACATCAATTTGTTTATAAGTCACTGTACAGTTTTATATCCCTTTTGCACCATAGGACATTACATCCACAATAGGGGCAGTAAGGTAGCCTAGTGGTTAAAGCGTTCGCTCGTCACACTGAAGACCCAGGTTTGATTCCCCACATGAGTACAATGTGTGAAGCCCTTTTCTGGTGTCCCCTGCCGTGATATTGCTGAAATATTGCTTAAAGGCGTAAAACTAAACTCACTCACTAAACTCACATCCACAATAATATATGGAGTGTCATGTAAGCTTTTGGCTTTATACAGGGGTGCTAAAACTACATGAAGCTTACTAAATCATTGGACTGATATTTGGTGTGGGTGGTATGCATGTTTCAGACTGACTGACTGACTGAGTTTGGTTTTACGCCGCTTTTAGCAATATTCCAGCAACATCACGGCGGGGAACACCAGAAATGGGCTTCACACATTGTACCCATGTGGGGATTCGAACCAGGGTCTTCGGCGTGACGAGCCAACGCTTTAACCACTAGGCTACCCCACCGCGCCCCATGTTTCAGAAGCAGGGAGCTCAATATGATCATGATACAAAGACGTTACTAAGGATTCAATCGGAGGCTGGAGGTGATCTGCAGAAGTATTGTAATGCATCTGCATTATACTGACAAAGGCTGAAGGGTTTCATATTACAGTTCTCCCAACACACTCACAGTGGACCTTCAAAACGTCCACCCAAACCCAACACCACAGTATTTCAGTGGGAGTATAATGGATAAATAATCAAACCTGATGCCAAGTTATTAGAAATAACAAGAGTGGAATAACATATGCCATATAAAAACATCATTGACATTAGAAACCTAATACTGATCATGTCAAAGCTATGAATAATTTCAGATCCAATTGTAACTCCATCTTCAGCACACCTACACCCACACACGATTATAATGATGCATGAGAATCATGACTAAAAATATTGTATTTTTGTCAGTTTTTCATAAATACTTGACATGTTTTGGATTTGGATTTATAAGTTTGACGTACTACATGTTCAATCATCAACAGATGTTGATAACCTCTAAACCGCTGGTATGGTGAACCAAGAAAGGGTGAAGTAGGGTGGGGTTGGGTGGAATGAACCAAAAGAGGGTGGGGTGGGGCTGGAATGAGCCACGACAGGGTGGGGTGGGGTGGAATGAACCAAGAATGTGGGGGTGGGGTGGAATGAACCAAGAATGGGTGGGGTGGGGTGGAATGAACCAAGAATGGGTGGGGTGGGGTGGAATAAACCATGAATGGGTGGGACATGGTGGAAATAAAACTGGAACAGAACCAGGCATTGGTGCGACAGGATGGAATGAACCAGGAAAAGGTGGGGTGGAGTGAACCATTAATGGGTGGAAAAGCATAGAATAAACCAAGAATGGCAGGGACAGGGTGGAATGTACCAGGAGAGGGTGGGGCAGGGTGGAATGAACCAGGAGAGGGTGGGGCAGGGTGGAATGTACCAGGAGAGGGTGGGGCAGGGTGGAATGAACCAAGAATGGGTGGGACAGGGTGGAATGTACCAGGAGATGGGGCAGGGTGGGGTGGGAATGGGTGGGAAGAATGAACCAGGAATGGGTGGGGGAAGGTGGAATGAACCAGGAATGGTGGGGCAGGGTGGAATGAACCAGGAGAGGGTTGGGCAGGGTGGAATGAGCCAGGAATGGGTGGGACAGGGTGGAATGGGAGGAATGGTTGGGGAATCGAACCAGAATGGAATGAACCAGGAATGGGTGGGGTAGGGTGGAATGAACCAGGAATGGGTGGGGCAGGGTGGAATGAACCAGGAAAGGGTGGGGCAGGGTGGAATGAACCAGGAGAGGGTGGGGCAGGGTGGAATGAGCCAGGAATGGGTGGGACAGGGTGGAATGAACCGGGAATGGTTGGGGTGGAATGAACCAGGAATGGGTGGGACAGGGTGGAATGAACCGGGAATGGTTGGGATGGAATGGAATGAACCAAGAATGGGTAGGGTAAGGTGGAATGAACCAAGAATGGGTGGGGTGGAATGGAATGAACCAGGAGAGGATGTGGTAGGGTGGAATAAATCCAACTTGACCACCAGACCAGTGAGTGGACAATAATTAGTGGTCCTGTCTGTATTTCACTGGTCCAAAATAACATTCGTAAATTTACTTAAAACATTCACTGGCCAAAAGGACCACTACAATCTTATCATTTAGTCCCGATGAACTTTTTACTAGCAAGAGACCACAGGACCAGTGTAAATGTTGCACACTGGAGAAAGGGTGGGTGAACCAGGAGAAGGTTGGGGTGGGGTGGAGTGAACCAAGAGAGGGTGGGTGAACCAGGAGGTGGTGGAGGTGGGTGAACCAAGAGAGGTGTGGGTGAACCAGGAGATGGTGGGGGTGGGGTGGAGTGAACCAAGAGAGGGTGGGTGAACCAGGAGGTGGAGGTGGGGTGGGTGAACCAGGAGATGGTGGGGTGGGGTGGAGTGAACCAAGAGAGGGTGGGTGAACCAGGAGAAGGTGGGGGTGGCGTGGAGTGAACCAAGAGAGGGTGGGTGAACCAGGAGAAGGTGGGGGTGGGGTGGGGTGAACCAAGAGAGGGGGTGGGTGAACCAGGAGGTGGTGGGGGGGGTGGAGTGAACCAAGAGAGGGTGGGTGAACCAGGTGAAGGTGGGGGTGGGGTGGAGTGAACCAAGAGAGGGTGGGGTGAAGCAGAAGAGTGTGGGATGAACCAGAATAGGGTGGGAGTGGAGTGGACCAAAAGAGAGCTGGAGGTGGAATGAACCATTCAGACCTGATCCATAACACAAAATGTTGTGGCCTTTGGTACGAATTCATTGGTTTCATATACTCAAACAATATAGAGCAGAAATGTTGAAATAGGCCTTGTAAGCTCATTTTCAAAAGAATTTCATCTCAGCAATTATTTATATAAACAAATCCACCATTCCAGTGCTGTTTTCCCTGAATTATACATTCAGGAGTCACCTTTAGGCTCCTCATTCTCTTTAACCCTTAAAATATCTTGAAATTTGCACATGTTTTACCACCTGCAATTAAGCCCTGGACACAAGGGACCATCTCAAAAGTTGTAAGTCTTAATTATAAGGTTGCCCCAAACAACATGTAACTCGGTTTAGTCCCTCGGTTTAGGGGTAGCATCTGATCTTGACACACTTGATTAGAAGAGTTTTTTTAATATTCTTCCATCATACTTCTCTTTTATCAGTGTATTTTCTTCCAGTTTGGGCTCACCCCTGCAGGAGTTTTAAACTGTCCCTCCATGCATAACAACATCAAGTGTCTACAGGTTGGTAAATGTCATTGTTTCGGGAAAGTCAACAAGGCCACAAAATACCCCTGATCTATGTCATCTTGACCTTCAACACCACACAGGGATTGGATATAACACTTGTTCAGGTAATTTTCTTTAATGACCTATTCATGTACATGATTAAAACACACAACATGAAAGACTATAAAACATTTGTTCATATTGTTCCTGTATGTTCAAAGTCTATTTAAGTAACTAATTTCAGTCAATTCAACATAAAAAAATATTAATACACAGTCACATACTGATACACTTTCAACACCAGTGCGTGCCTCAATATAGCTTCAGGATCACGACTTACACAATGAACATATTTATATTTTTGTTGTGTATAGATATATGTTCACCCTTTTAACACTGAAACTTGAGAAGACAGTAGTTGTCCTGATCACACCTTGTCAATTAAAGTCATATTTTACAGAAAGTCCACCTGGAAAAACAAAATCTGGAAAAGAATATGCTAATAGTGCAGGGTACGTTCCTTATGCCCTGCTCACACTTTAATTAAATGGGGGCCTAAAAACGTTTGGTGTCTCACACACTGAGCCTCCACTGGGTAGTTTTAATGTACAGAATTTCCCCTTAATTATCTCTGCAATACAATGCCAACAGTAAAGAGTGTCAGAAAGAAACATATGCCCGGGTGTTTAACCAAGGTAATGAAGTAATATCACTTATGGTTAACAGGGGTTGTGGGGTAGCCTAGTGGTTAAAGCTCACTATGATTTAACAAGTGCCCCATGCCTGCTGTATTTTAGTACATATACTACCCATCAAAAGTTTAGACTCACTTGTGTAAATGAAGCCACTTCCTTCAGTCAACTGTTCTGAACTAGATTTTGCTAAATATTCCATGATGTTTAAAGGTACTGTTTACACATGAACTGATGTATTGTAAAGTAAATTTGTAACATTGACAAAATTATTTTCCTGAGTTCAATAAATAATGAAACTCAGTGAAAATTGGCAAATTCTTAACAAAACTTTACACCAAACTGCATCTATTCACATGCATGATATTTGCACATGCTTTTCTGAAAATTGATACAGGATCCTTGTGCAATTCATCTGTCTAAACTGTTGATGGGTAGTACATATCATCAAATAAGAAGTTCCTAGGCCCTACATATTGTGTGTTTCCATTTTTCTAACATACCATAACACTAACATTTTCTTGTTCTTGACATTGTCCATGCTTTCTACAAAATTAAGATTTCTTTGCTTCCAAAGTTGACATTCACACTTCCATAGTTTACTGCAAATCAATACTGACAGTTAAATGTCTCCTTATTTCACTTTTTACATCTTGGCAACATCATAATAGATGGAAAACATTTGCAAAGTACAAAACAAATAAGTCAAAAATATCAAAAATGTTAATTCTATTTATATCCTTGCTTAGTGCCACTTTCTTTCAGCAACATGATGACAGTCGGTAAACATTGGAGTCATTTCTTTCTTGTTTAACGCTTCACTCAGCAATATTCCAGCTATATGACGATGGTCTCTAAATAATCAAGTCTGGGCCACACAACCCACTGATCAATAGCATGAACGTCGATCTACACAATTGGGACATGATGACATGTGTCAACCAAGCCCCCGCGATCCCATTAGTCACCTCTTACAACAAGTATGTGTTGCTGACAACCAATTCTATCTAACTTAGATCTTCACGGGTTGTTTGAGTCTTGACCAGACAAACCAATGGGTGATGTTACGAGCAGTGACCCTAACTATCAGGTAAAGTTGAACCAAATCAACAAGTCGGACCACCGGATCTATTTAGTCGTACAACAAGCACAGGTTGCTGGGATCTGACCTGGAATCCCATGGTGGGACAAGATATTCATTTCCTTCGTATTAAACAATAAAAAGTATCATAAAAAACCCATTGCAGAATAACAATAGTACAGAACATGCACAGAATATTCTTGTCAACCATAATGGAGAAATACTTTCAATGTAAGTCTCACCTGGAGATAACAGGTGATTGATTACACCTGTACTTTAACAGGTGAATCCACAAGGCCATACTCTAATGTTAGCGACCAGTGAAGATCTGGGTGGGCAGTAATCTCCAGCAACAGATGCTTTCCATAAGATGCCACTATGCTTATTGTAAGAGGTGACTAGTAGGATGAGGAGGTCAGGCTTGCCCACTTGATACTCGGCATTGTTTTAACCACTGGGGAAAGTTATGTCCATTGTTCTTGGAAGCGTTTTATTAGCATAACTGATTAACTGCCCTAGGGCAATTATTTCTATTCAAAAACAATAAAATTGTACTCATTTCGATAATCTTCATCATGCCTAATCCATTACACACACATTAAATAAGTATGCCCTCGTGGTGTAAGCCGTTTAACCACCCTCACTACGGTAGTTATTTAAACAAACTCTGCTGGGGCTACCTTGTAAGGGTGGTTAACCTATACATAACAACTGGATAGACTGATGCTCACAATACCAACCATTTGGTTGTAAGCACATTCCTGCTACATCACTATATCTATATGTGTGAACAGATTCAATAGTAGTCATATAGCAGAATGAATCATAGTCTGTCGTACAGACCCTGAAGCAAATATATCCAAGAAAGCCCACGCAAGTCTAGAAAATGTGGCAAGTCTAGATTTCCTCAGCTTCAGGGCTCCTTTTCATTATATTATATTTTTTTACTATGAACTTTTTTCAGTAAAATATGTTCATTTCAGAGACTAGTTGTTAGTCTAGCGAATCATAAAACAACAACAAAAATCAGTTGTTAATTCCAATTTCAGTGAGATCAAAGGAGCACCTTATATCATACCATACTGGCTCAATACTTTTCATTTTCCAGTCATTTTAGGAAGACAGTATTGTTTTAGTTGACAAAACGTTGTGGCCCATTACCAAAAATTTTATATTCATGAACTGTAAATGAAATACAGTACTCTAATTCCAAGTATTTATGCTGTTTGGTAGTGAAACATATGCAAAACTCTTGTTGTAGTCATAGCACTCTTGTGTTGAGTTTGACGCCACCCTCAACAGTGTCATGCCATGTCATGATGTCAAGTCAAATTCACATAGGAGGAGTGAGTGAGTTTGGTTTTATGCCGCGTTTAGCAAGTCTGGAATGATGCAGGTGTCAGCCACTGTACCACTTTAGCCAACAAGAGCTGACAATCCCAGAGACAGAGCATGGTGCTATCAGACACCCAACATTTAGGTATGAGTTTGTGTACATGGGTTAACACCACAGTGTACTGAGAGCTTGGAGGGGGCCAGGATTAGATATCAATCCTAAGTTGGTTATCTTGCAGGAATCACAAGGATTGTTGACACACGGCTAAAGGTGGACTGTTGAGTTCCCAGCGCCATGAACAAGAGTGCATAAGTACTAAAGATGACTGAGAATAGGATGGTCAGTATCGAATGTCAAGGTCATGTAATACAAGACACTGTTTTCACAGATGATTGCTGCGAGGAATTCCCTGTTTATTTTTCATATCTATATAGTTAATCTGCCATATCTTATAAAAGAAGGCATTTATTTACTTCTCTTGAGAAGAATATCATTATGTTCATGCCAAATGTGTAATTTTGATGTTCCTAACCACTTTGTATAGTGAAGCAATGCATTAAACATGTGTTAAATGTAAATTTCAGTGTAAATGAACCTGTGACTTGAAAAGCTGCAAAAGGACAAGGTAGGATGGGGGCTTTATGCTCCCACTGTCAGATTTATCACTCATAAAAGTGAATGATCCACTTCTTCATAATTTGATATGATGTAGAAATAGATAAAAACAAGAAGGAAATGTGTGTATACTTTCAAGGATGTCAATCTGTATATATATTTTAGATTGAGGAGGCTTCTTGTCACAAACAAGTAAGAGTTGGTGATGCCCTTTGAACAGTATTTTGGTTACATCACAGGGTATCAGCTTGAGGTGGGAGGATCTTAGATGAGTGAGTGAGTGAGTGAGTGAGTGAGTGAGTGAGTGAGTGAGTGAGTGAGTGAGTGAGTGAGTGAGTGAGCAAGCGAGTGAAGTGAGTGAGAGTGTTTCAAGCTTTGTGCAGTACTTCAGTGTTGTCAAAAGTAAGAATGTAAGTAGTAGGTATAGTGCACATAAATCCTTAAAAAAATCAGGTTCACAACAATATAGAGGAAAATGCAATATTTTCCAAAATTCACATACATCAGAATATTTTTACACTAAACACTACACCTTTTACACAAAGACCACAAAGAAAGTAACAGAAACATGAATTCTCAAATATGTATGTCTTTTTTATAACCCACAAGGATCCAAGGTATAATATGATGAAAATTCCTTTCCACCAAGACAATCCTTCCTATTGTAATAAAGCAGTATATGGGTCAGAGAGTGGGCGTCACCCTCCTCCCCACAACAAGATCTGCCTAATGGCCTGTGAGATATGAAGGACTTCACAGCAACAAGTCA